AAGGGGACAAAGAAAAAAAAAAAAAAAAAAACCAAGCAAAAATCAGACTGATACAAGGTCCTTCTGGGAAGAGTTAACTCCCTTTTGTTTCTCAAACCTGGCCAGGATATGGGCTTTGTACAGAAACCAGATGCATTACCTCATTTTGGGTGATGCTTTTCTGTTTTTTAGCTCTGACTTATAAAACTGTTGATGTGACTTGCTTCCCAATGGAAGGTGAAACTATTGTATAATGTGTAACCATATAACCCAATGCAGTCTGGAGGGTTTATCTTCAAATCAGATTTAAAATAGTCTTTGGTGGCTGTGATGTAATGGCAATCCTGCAAAAGCAAGGAACAGAGGAGAATGAAATGTGTCTAATGCTACCTTTGAGTGTATCTGAGTGTTTTGCCAAGCTCTGAGTTAGATAATAGTGAGGCAGGTAGTGGCTGTGTCTGTAAGAAGGGTTGAACTGTATCTTCAACAATGCCCTGCATACACAGCTTGGTATATGTGAAAGGGGGAAGAAAACACTAGCACCATATAGTCTGCCTGGGAAAGAGACTACTTTCCTTGCTAGGATTTGCAAACATGTGTAGTCCTAATTCAGGTTCCAGTAGTTCAGTGGGAACACTTGCATTGTATGCTAGCGTGCCCTAGTGGAAAGGGCACTGGACTGGGAGCTAAGAAACTGGGGAAGAAATTACACAGCAGTAACAACATTACTAGCTTGTAGAGCCCTGGAAGTGGCCAGGTGAGAATTTTGCTGGCTTGGGCCTGGCACAAGACAACCAACCTGCCACAGTTCCCAGCCTGGCATAGTCCTACAGAGATTCTGGGTGGCAGTGCCACCCATGAGCAGCAACGTATGTGTCCTTCAGGACTGTCTTAATTGTGTTGGGGTCTGCACTGGCTTCTGCTGCAGCTTGGAATCAGAAAGGCACAAAGGTTAAAGCGTGACATTGGGTGCTTCTGTTCCCATCTCTCTGTCTTTGCCACTCCTCCCACTGTTTCTTCTCTTCTGCCTGCCTCGTTGTGTGGCAGCGAGTGTGGCAGCAACCGACCGGCTGCCACTGTGTAGGGTGCTGCACACAATGGCTCTGACTTCAGCTGGAGCATCCAGCACCACTGCCATACAAATCCTTCTTTATAAAGTCTGTGTATTTCATGTGGCTGTCCCATAAATTGCACTTGAAGACCTTGGGTGAATTTTTAAACAAGCCTGTTCAGTGGAATTTTGCATCACTCTTGTGTGCAGGTAGCCATAGACTGGCCAGGGCTAGGAAGAAATGTGCCACTCATTGGGATGTTGGTACCAGCCTGCACTGCCACACAAGTTTTGCATCTTCTGAAACAGCTGGTTCTGGTGACTGCCAAGGACAGGGTGCAGGATTGGCCAACCTGCTCTAGCCTGGCAGTTCGCAGATAGGCCATCCAGCTATGTTAAACCTTCTCTCTCTTGTATTTTGCTTCCATCCCTCTCTCCTGTTAATATACATGCCTGGTGGCCTGGCAGAAACACCATTTGCACTTGGATAACTATGCCGGATAACTATTCCGGAGCATGGTGGAACAGGTTTGGTAGTGTAGGAACCTGCTGTGTCTGCAAAGGGATGAGTTCAAGCCCTGTCCATGCCAAAGGCCCAGCTGTGAAGGGGCATCTGGTTAGACAGGCTGGTCAATCCAAGGTATCTGGATGCAGGGCTAGCCACATCTTTCTCTTGTGTCTTTATAGGCTGCAGAAGCTGATGTGCCCTTAATTTCATTAGCAGCTCAATGAGCTCTTCATCTCAGGCAGGCTGGACTCTGATTTTTTGATAACTATATCAGCTGTGGGGAGAAGAGGATGTTTTTTAATACAGTACTTAATGATGGAACTCCTTGTGTGGATGCAGCTATAGCCTATAAAGGTGTCTTATACCAGCATAGTGTTCCCCTTGATTTATGCCTAAGTTTTTACCAGTACAGCTGTTGTAGTTAGGGGCATGATTCCTGCCCTTTGACCCTCCAACCCAAAACATGACATTGTGAAGCTGGTAAAAAAAACAGGTATAGATGTATTTGTCATTATGAAAATGGTTACATCTACAGAGCTGATGCCTGAGAGCATTGTTTCACCCAAACTAGGAGAGTATGGCCAGTTTAACTCCTGCTCAATATGGTACAGTTTCCTGGTGTAGAGAGGATCTAGATATTTTTGGAAATGCAGAGTGGTAGAATACAGCTGGCTGTGACAACAGGAATTGCTTTGGGTAAAGAAACCATTGTGGGCAAAACTCACAGGCACAAAATTAACCCCGAGTAGCATGCAATTGTCCTTTCTACTGCTGGGAGCAATGGCAGGTGTGCATGGAAAGTGTATTAAGGCCAGGTGCCTACAAGCTTTTATTTTCCCACAGGAGCAAAGAAAAAGCCTGAGCTATGCTTAGACTAATTTGAGGTGAGGTAAAATAGCTGTATCCGAGTCCCCTCCATAGGTGATACAGATAGAGGATTAGCCACAGTCTAAAAACCTTGGTATGTGTCTGGCTTTCTTGCACCTTTTAATTCTTGGTGTGTTATCATCACAGCACCCCTGTAAGACAGGGAAATGTCTCTATCCTCATTTTACAGATGGGGAGCTCAAGTATAGAGACTAAATGGGTAACTCAAGGTCATTCCAGAAACCAGAACCCTGACTTTAAGTTCCATGTTACCACCCAGAGCAATGGACCGTCCTGCTGGTTAAATGACAGTGGCCATGAAGGTATGTGTGCTACAGTTCCACTGTGCTGATGGTTTCTCCCTGCTTTGTCTTCTCCTCAGGCCCTTGGCTGCTTGCTGTACAAATTGTGCTATTTCACTTTACCATTTGGTGAAAGTCAGGTGGCCATCTGTGATGGGAACTTCACCATTCCAGACAACTCGCGCTACTCCCAGGACATGCATTGCCTCATCCGTGAGTACCTTGGCGACAGCATCATAGTTGGCTTTTAAGTTTTTCCCCTTAAACTGCTCGCTGCTCTGTTTGCAAACCCTCAAATATCTATGCTAAGGACCTGCAGCTCTCCACAAGGATGAACAACCTGGACTTATAGCAGCTTGAGCAACAGCTGTGTGAAAAAGAGTTATGACAAAGGGGCTTCTATCTGGAGGGGTGTTTGCAATTGGTGTGGGAAACCAGGGAAGTAGACAACCACTGGGTTTTTAAATTCTTCCAGGAACTTCCACAACACGCCTTTTTATGCAGAGACGTGTCTCCAGTAATAAATTCATGTGCGTAAGGAGCTGAAGGGAACAGCGGTGACTTAAGCTGCTGATAAGAATTCATCTCCTGCGAATTGAGAAACAGGACTGAAATGATTATAAATAACCCACTGACTAAAGTGAATGTGTAATTAAGGGTACAATGCATTTCTGTTGGCAAAGCTGCAGCAGCTTGCCTCCTTTCACTTCACATGGGGTTTACCAGCCAAAATCTTGATTAGCGCAGACTCAGATGTGGTATTGAAATAGCCTGGCACTTCTCCACCTGTCCACATGCCCAGATGTGGGCTGTTGGCCTTTCTCCCTGTGAGGGAAGGGCCAGCCATGTCCAGAGACTGGATTAGGTGTCTCTAGGCTCCACTTACTCAAAATAATTCCCATGACCAAGGCAGGCTGCAGGGTTCAGAAGCCTTTCTCTTGGCTTCTCTTCCCCTCTGCTTCAGAACCTGTGATAGGAACACCTTGCTTTCATAGTTTCATAGATTTAGGGTCGGAAGGGACCTAGTAGATCTTCTAGCCCGACCCCCCGCCAGGGCGGGAGAATAACAAAACCCCAAAACAAGAAACGGGACTCAAATGAGTCCAGCCAGGTAGGCATCCAGCCTCTTCTTAAAGACCCCCAGGGTAGGGGCCAGCACCACTTCCCTTGGAAGTTGGTTCCAGCTCCTAGCCGCCCTAACTGTGAAGTAGTTTTTGCGGATGTCCAATCTATACCTCCTCTCCATCAACTTGTGCCCATTACTCCTTGTTATGCCAGCGGGCGCTAGGGGAAACAGCGTCTCCCCCAAACCCTTCTGGTCCCCCCTAGTGAGTTTATAGACGGTCACCAGGTCCCCCCTCAGCCTTCTCTTGTGGAGGCTGAATAGGTTCAGGTCCCGCAGTCTCTCACTGTAGGGTCTGCCCTGTTGTCCCCGGATCATGCGGGTGGCCCTCCTCTGGACCCTCTCCATGTTGTCCACATCCCTCTTGAAATGGGGCGCACAGAACTGGACACAATACTCCAGCTGTGGCCTGACCAGCGTCGCGTAGAGGGGGAGGATCACCTCCTTGGCTCTACTCGAGATGCACCTGTGGATGCACGACAAGGTCCGGTTAGCCCTGCCAACCATGACCTCGCATTGTCGGCCCATGTTCATCTTGGAGTCAATAATGACTCCAAGATCTCTTTCTGCCTCCGTGCTCTCAAGTAGGGAGTTCCCCATTGTGTAAGTGTGCTGCTGGTTCCTACTGCCCAAGTGCAGCACCCTGCACTTGTCCGTATTGAAACGCATCCTGTTCCTGTTAGCCCACCCCTGTAACCTATCCAGATCCCTCTGCAATCTCTCCCTCCCTGCTAGCGTGCTCACCTCCCCCCAAATTTTGGTGTCGTCAGCGAATTTAAACAGGTTACTTTCCACCCCATCATCCAGATCGCCGATGAAGAAACTGAACAGCGCAGGCCCCAGGACCTGTTCAACTGAGCTGTTCAGCTCTTTATCACTATCGCTTCACTATCCTGCTAACTGAACAGGGCTCGGTAATCCCAGGCCCTCAGTCCCCTTCCAACTTAGTTAGAAAAGATGTTACGGGCTTGCTAGCTGCATTCAAGAGTGGTACATTTAAACTTCAATGTGTGCATGACATGAGTTTATTCAAGTGACAGATACTGCAAATAGCCTTTATTTACACTTTCAAGGAGAGATGGGTTTGGTGTTGCTTGAAACTCCTAAACCCAGACAGGTTCTAATTTAAATAGGCTACCATTGCTTTATAGTTGAAGAAGGGAAGTGACTGACTCTTGCACAAGAAACCTGCTGCCTCTTATTGTAGACATGCAGTCAGAGGTTCCACAGGAAGATAAGCGTGCTCACTTTTGCTTGCTTAGAAAAGCGAGTGGACTTGGATTTAATTAAAGCTAGCCCTGCTACCATTGCCCGCAAGGAGAGCTTTATCACTGATCCCAACAAATGAGCAGTAGTGCTCTAGGACTGCAACTGCAGACGTGATGTAGGTGTGCCAAGCCATGACTCAAATTGTCAAGCATGGAGCAGGATTCTGTAGTGGATAGGTAGGTAGTCACAGCAGGGTGCAGCTTAGTCATACGATCATTTGAGAGTTTACATCTTCGGATGTTTCATAACCTAAGTCTTCTGATGCATCTTTTTTAGGGTATATGCTTGAACCAGATCCTGACAAGAGGCCTGACATTTACCAAATCTCATACTTCGCTTTCAAGTTAGTAAAGAGAGAGTGCCCAGTTCAGAATGTGCAGGTGAGTTGTTGCTGTCTGTTCTGGTAGAGCTGAGGGTGGGTAGAGTGAACTCCAAGGGATTTGTGGTGCATTTCTTTTAGTCATTTAATCCAGGCAGTTGGAGAAACCCCTGGACGTAGTGGAGGATTTAGCTCTGGTGTGGCTGGGAAGGTGCTGGGAAGAAACGGCTTCCTGCATGGCAGTATCTGTTCATTGCTGGGTCCAAAACCAGTAGTGGAAAGGGTGACTAGGAGAGTTGTGGGCTTCTAACTGGCATGAAGGTGCATGCAGCTAGGATAAATCCCTGGAGGTTTGGCTCTTCTGGCCTCAGAAGAAATCAACCAAATCTCTCTTGCTGAGTATTAGCAAAGCAAACGGTGAAAACATCTCCCTTGAAAGGTGAGCAGATGGTAATGAAGGGAGTAAACATGTAAAAGAGTGTCCTTTTATGTATGCTTCAGTGCTGGTTCCAAGGCAGTGGTTACAGTGATGTTACAGTCAGATACAAGGTGTGTCTGACATTTATTATACCTGTTTATTAGACTGTGGTTTCAGTGTGGGGCTGACAGGTGTTTTACAGCATAAGGGACATTTGGGTGCTACAGAACTTTAAGTTGCCTAAGGATTTGGGCACTTTTGTTTTTTCATGCACTTCCAATTTACATTCCTTTGTTCAGTGGGATTTTGTTGTTTTATTAACCTAAGTGAAGTTTTCCTGAAAAGTATGAACAGATGTTGCCCATAACCTGTTACCTTTTAAAGGACTCCCTTGTGTTTATCAACCACTTATCAGTCCTCATGTTAATTTGCCCTCAAACTCCAAGCATGGTTATGATGTCTTGATTATAAGACTGTCTCGGGTTTTTTGTTGTTGTTTTTCCCCCTGAAAGGCTTTCCCGTGCTTCCGTTTTCCATGCAACTAATGTTGCAGGATCAGACATGAGCTAAGGGAGTGATGGAGTGGTCTGTGCCCAACAGGCACCTACTCTACTTGCTTTTGCAAACTTCACTTATGTTCCTATGTCATTTCTATCTTGTGGATATGAAATCTTATAGTTTTCGGTTTTGCAGAACTCTCCACTTCCAGCTAAGCTCCCAGAACCAGTGAAAGCTAGTGAAGCTGCTGCTAAGAAGAGCCAGCCAAAGGCCAGGTAGGAACTTCCATGTTAAATGTATCTCTTGCCTTCAGCATCTCTGGTTTGTAGTGGAGATGCTGTTCAACATCAGTAATGCACGCTAGTAGAAAAGAGATGGAAGTTCCTGGGGAAACCCTCTGAGACTTCTTTAGCAAAACAAAAATGCCTGTTAAACTGAAAGGCAGCAAATGCTGAGAGATGGAAGAATTCCTTTCCTGCGTGGATAAGACTGAGTATGAGTCAGCTGCGGGGCTGTCTGAAGTAACAGCACCATTTGAGTGTAGCAGCTTGAAGGCTGCATGCCAAAGATTTTACTCTGTGCTGTACTGTCCCTGCTAAGGGCCTTACCCTGAGCCTCACGAAGTCAGTGAAAAGGCTCCCATTGCCTTAACCACATCAAGAAATGGGAGACTAACCAAGATGCACTGGAGCTTCTGTTTTGAGAAACCTCTTAGTTCTTGCCTGGAGAGCGTGGCTTGTGTGTGGTAGGGTACAAAGGGAGATAGATGGCGGTCACATCCTTTGGACTTTGGACAATTGCTTGCCTGTGACCACAGGGAATTGGACTGGATGGTGTAGGGGACCTCTGATTGTCCTACATACCTCTGACTTGATTGGGCTTTTAAAGCAAACCCACAGGAACTGCACTGGGACTGGTTTGATCCATGAGTTTCCCCCTTCCCTGCAAAACAGACCAGAGAATCTTCCAAACCTTTGCTTCCAGCCTCTAATTTCTGTTTTTGCAAAAAGTAACTCCCCAGGACAGTGGTTTCCAGCCTTTTCCTCAGCACGACCCCATTGCCTCAGCATGGCCCCTCACTCCCAACCTACAGCCCCCTGGCCCTGCTGGTGCCCCTTGCTTCTGACTTGCAGGCCTTTGCCCCTCCCAGCAGCACATGACCCCCCAGGTGCTGCTTGCAGGAGGTGGTGGCTTCTGTGGCCAGAGCAGAGCATGGAGCCCAGCTCCCTCTCCCCCTTCTCCTCCACCCCTTCTTCCCCTGCGGACATTATGGCAACAGAGCCCATTGGGGAGGGAAGAGGCATGGATGTAGGCTTCCCCGCTCCTCCTCTTGTGGGCCCTGTGGCTGAGTGGGTGGGTCCCAGTGCACGAGGGCTTCTGGGAGCTCCATACTGGCTGTGCCACCATGGTGAGGCACTACCTGCCTGCACAGCAGCAGTGGCAGAGGCATGGAGCTGTGCCTCCCACTGCTAACGGGCAGGCAGGGGGCGCTTCACCATGGTGGCACATCCATCATGGGGCTCCCAGCAGCGGCACTGAGCCTCTCTGCCCCATTGTGCTGTGGAGGCCCCTGTTGGGAGGGCAGCAGGGTGGGGAGACTCGAGCTTGCAGGGGGCAGCCCACATCTGCCCCCACCCTGCACACATCTGGGGGACGCATGCTCCCCCATGCCTAACCTCCCTGGGAATGCAAGTAGCCCCCCCACCTCCCCTGGATAAGCTGCCTGTGGCTCTATCCTGCTCCCCCAGCTGGGCCCTGCATTCCCTCCCCAGCTCCAGGGCCCATGCACCAGCCCAGCTGGGCATCACACCCAGCTCTGTCCCACTCCTTCCCTTCCTCCCCCACCATGGATGCCGCAGT